ATAATAATAATAATAATAATAATAATAATAATAATAATATTTTAGGCAGCATTTATGATACGCCATTGAGCATGGTGATGATGATGATGATAACAATGACGATGACGATGACAATGTTGCTAAACGAACAGTCATAAGATGGAGTGTATCAAATGTGAATTTACAGAGCTGAAATTATGCAGATCTTTTAATAGTTTCGAGTTACTTTCTTGGGATTTGGAGACGAAAAATGCTTCAAAACTTAAAAGATTTACAAAACTCACTCTGACGATGAAATCATATTTAAGTTCTCAACACATCTATGGTTTTGTTTTGATTAATCTAGTTCTTTCCTCCCTCATGTAGGGCAAAGAGTTTTGTTCTTGTATTATTAAAAAGTAAATCACTCAACAGGCAAATTTATTGCCCGATGATAAGAAAACACGAATATAAGTAACTGCAGTTATAGAAACGTTTTCTCACTTGTTCCTTGTTCTTGAGGACACTCATTTGTTAATTCCCACCATTCTCTTTTCAGCTGATCAAGGAAATCATTCTCACTGAGGCGTAGAATGGCCAATGTGAAGTCCTTAAGGGCTGTGTCGTTTGCTTGTAAAGCAAACGAATACGCAAGGGCCGTACTTAAACCTGGAACTGAGAAATGTTACAAAATAACAAAAAGTCGCTTAATCACACAACATCTACATGTGAGTTGCAGCACTTGTAGAATCTTTGGTGCTAGCACCTGAATCGTCTTTTCGTTTATTTTCACGTATGCACAAATAATACGTGTATTCGAAAATGCTTTTAAAAGGACCACCCATCAGATATAGCACCATGTCATTGAAAAGCGCGCAGGAGTTTTCACGACTAGATTCAGCAAAATAACGATACAATATCTTGGAATATTTTTAATCGTTTCGTGCGTTGCTCGCAAGGCCTACCAAAGAAACACGATATTAATAATGACAAAAGTTAAATATTCAACAGTTGGTCTGGAAAATCGAGCACTGATATATTAAGCAATTAGATTATGAGCTCGAGATTTAACGAATAATCTAATTGTTTTAGTATAAATCTACTAGTCGTTCGAAACGTTATGTAAATCCTCTTCATAGACATTTCGAAAAAGGGTAATAAAGAGGATGTTGTTGTTGTTGTTAACGCCAAGAAGCGGCCGTCATTTTGTTAATAAGGACGCACTGCTACGCTACTCACTATCTATCACAGAATAAATAGTGAGTAGCGTAGCCAATGCAATAAGAGAACGGCGTTCGTGATAGAACGTTAGTAGATTTATACTAATACACATTAGTATAAATCCACTAGAGTTCTATCACGAAAGACGTTCTCTGATTGGCTACGCTACTCACTATCTATTCTGTGATAGATAGTGAGTAGCGTAGCAGTGTGTCCTTGTTAACAAAATGACGGCCGCTTCTTGGCGTTTTCGAAGTGTCTGTGAAGAGGATTTAGATAACGTTTTGAACGGCTAGTAGATTTGTACTAAAACAATTAGATTATTCGCTCTCGATTTCTATGCGTGATAGTTGACTCGGGCTGGGCCCTAGTAAACTATCACGCGATAGAAATCGAGAGCGAATAATCTAATTGTTTAATAGAGTCGCACAAGTTGTGATACTCATGGTAGTTTTGTGAGTGAATGTGTGTGAATTTTACCTGTTGTTAGGTCGCAAGGTGGCTGAATGGCGGCAAGTTTGAGAATTGGCCCGTCTCCAATGAAAGCAAACTCGTCTCTATCTCGCACCAGTTGAATACCTGCAGGTGTGTCTTGAATTGTGGTGTTTTCCTCTGTGATTCTATTCCATATCTTTTCATGTGGCTCGTACTGACTTGTCTTGAGTGCCTCGTACGTGCTTGACGAGTCCACGACTGCTACGTGATAAGAGGACTTCACAATATCTTCAAGATTGTTGATGGGAAGATCAGTGTTTGTTACGGTGAAAAAAGCGGCCAGGTTCGCAGTGTAAGTTGAGACCCAGATAAGAATACAGAACCAGTAGCATCCAGCGAGAATACGACCTAAAGAAACCCGGACAAAGGAGAAGAAAATCAGACGAGCCATGCTACATTTTTCGTTAATAAAATTTAGCGTTTATCTGGTATGACGGATCTTATATAGAAAAACCAATAACAACAACAACGATAATGCGAGCAGAATACATCGTCTTAGCATGAAATCATACAGTTATAAAGCCCAAGACTAAAGAGTTACCAAAGTTTGAACCCTCATCAGGCAGAAGGGGTGCCAAAGCTATTTATGTTTATATATTTTCAACTCAAGTTATGATCAGGTTTCTCGATCCAAAAAAATATACCGTGATATTTAATCCATTTGAGAAATTAAGGTAGCAAGAAAAGTGTCTATGTAACCTTTTGTATGTGAAGTGCAGATAACCAGTGGCCCAGATAATGAAAGTTATTACCATTTGTTTACGCCTTTTTCCGGCCGCTATACTAAAAAAGCAAAAAAAGTTGAGGTATTGTTGGACCATGGAGGTACACCAATATGGCGGTTCCATACTGGACTCTGTAAATTAGTGAGGTTCGAAGAATAGAATTTCTGCCCCTCAGCCCCCTTGTTCAGCAAGCAACGGTTCGCCCCGGTCACCCTGCTTTCTCAATAAGGCGTGAATAAAATAAAGTGTTAAAACAAATGAAATCCATTTGCCTCTACCTGACAAACTTCTTGGTGTGTTATCACCTCCCTGTTGCAACATACAAGCCAATGAGAACCAGACACTGTTGAAAAAGCTAAACTCTTCCGATGTCCCTTTGCCAGTTTCATCTTTGTATCCATAAGGACTGTAATAGTTTATTACAAACACGGCTATGGCAATGATAACCAGACTGCCTAGTGTGCAGATCCAAACATAGTGGTGAAACGGAAGCATAAACTGGAATAAATTAATCGTCCCAGCGGAAGTTGTTTTCTTGATAAGTATCTCTCTTGTGTAGTACATGTACGGCACAGTAAAGTCCACCACTTTCTCGCGACGTTCTGTTACTGTAATCGCAGCAACTGCGATGTCGGCACGCTTTACAAAAGAGACAAAACATGTATTTTTATCACATGACTAACAAATAGTTTTCTCATTAACTTATGATCAGTCTTTAGAATTGTAGATTGAAGTTTTCTTTCTTACAGAAAACCAAAATGGTGTTACATGAACTTGCTGTTTTAACTGTGCTATATTACAAAAATTAATTCGACAGGATAAGTTCAGGACCATTTACATCCTTAACCCAAACATTAACAGATCCGATGAATTTCGAACTTCGCTAGCTCTTCAGTCCCAGTGACGTGCGTAAGTTAAAGCCCAAATTTAACCCACTTCTGACGCTCCCTCAAATTGCTACCATGGTAACCGACTAAGAGTATTGTCTCCTCCCATACAGTCCGATCCGCCCCCAAGATTTGCAAGATTAGAAGTCCATTGAATCCTAATTTGATAATATGCGGCTACTAGATGGCTAATCGTGCCATCTACGCGAATATAGAGTAAGGGATTTTTCCAGTTATTGGGATCGAGTTGTCCTTATTTTTCATTTCGTTATTTCCCCCTTCATTGTATGAAAAACAACAGTGGGTTCACAGCTGGCACGGATGAACAAAGAAGCATTAGGAAGCGTTTGTATTTTTACACTTCTCAAAACCTAATATTAATGGGAAATTTTCTATCTGAATAGTTCAACTTTTACCACAAAAAGCTGTTGTGTGGAGTATAGTGCAGGAAGAACGGTAAATGTTCAAGTTACCTTGTTCATTAACTCGCCAATCAGTCCATTCCAGGTTCCGTTTTCAGTTTCAGCACCGTACAACCCGTCCGGGGAGGGGTAGATGTCATATGTAAACTTGAGATTTCTTGCTAGCTCATTCAGCAGACGGATACAATATCCGGTATATGTAATGCTGCCGTCTTTGTGCCTTTTCTCCATCACGAATGGTGCGTCCTATTTGAAAGTGTTGCATAAAGAAGACATCGATTGTTAATTATTGTTAGCATCAAGCATCTACTCTCTGTCTATTCTGCTGTAGGCGGTGAGTAGCCTGGCAGTGTGCGATTTTTGACAAAATTTCGGCTGCTTCTTTGCGTTTTCGAAGTGTTCTTGAAGAGGACTTAGATAAAGATTTGAAGGACTATAGCAGTATACTAAAACAGTTAGCTTATTCTCTCACAATTTCTATACGTGATAGTGGACTCGGGCTTCGCCCTCGTCAACTACAGCTGTGTGACTCAACAGGAATCTCGAGTTCATGATCTAATTGTTATTTTGAGTCAATTGACTTTAAACAATAACAAGATAGAGCTTTCACCAAACCTTTAGAACACTAGTGGAAGGTTTTATCAAGTAAAACAACAATAACAAAACAAAATGCTACTATAGATCTTACCATTGCGACAACAGCCCTAAGCTTTCTTCCTTCGAGACTTCCTTTGGAAAGTGGATTGTCCATGTTGCGTAAGACACTTTCAAACAGTACGGCACCTTTAGTTGAATTCCATGTACCTACCTAAAATACGATGTAAATAGCAGAGGAATGAATAAACCTAATTAAAAGATCTTAAAGCATGAATTTGAGATAGCAGAGTTTAACATCAAATAATTACGTATTGTCTACATATACTGCTACAGCTCTACAGAAGAAACTACTCAGACCCAGTTAAACCAAAGTTACCAAAATCAAACATCAATCACCTTTTAGTTCAAACCAAAAAATGTGCTTTCAGGGTTCACAGCAAAGCTTTAATTAACCTTTAATGGGAAGTAATCTACAATATCCGTCAAAAGCAAATTAGTTAAACCTCAAACAAATGACTTGTCTGTACATTGTCGTTTACCTTTACGAGGGAGTTGTTTCGAAGGTTCAAAATCTCCAGTTCAATTCCTTTTCGCTTTCCATGCTTGTTGAAGTGAATCGGGCCTGTTGGGCTATCTAGATTAACCTATTTTAGCAAGGAAACGATCGTTAGACAAAAAAAAAAAACCCACAACGTACGAAACTAAAAAAGAAAGTCAGCGAGCTGAAATCCTTGGAACAGTATGCTGTATGCCGATTTATGCGTGTCACTCAATAAATAAGCATGAAGAACTTGCTGCACGTAATTATATAAGCAGCAGCAGAAGAAGAAGAAGAAGAAGAAGAAGAAGGAGATGAAGATGAAGATGAAGAAGAAGATGATGAAGAGGAAGAAGAAGGAGAAGAAGAAGAAGAAGAAGAAGAAGAAAAAGA